CCGGACGCCGAAGGATTAGAAAGTTTTCTATAGTCCAACCTTCTACTTCTCTTTAATGAAAAATCATTTGGACTAAATAGAGATTTCGGCATTTGATGATGCTTCAGGTCTTGGCGAGGAAGTTGTTGTGCGTGTTGTGGGTGATGTTGATGTTGGCCGGAATGATTGTACGCGTGTTCCTGCGGTAATCTATTGACTGTTTTACGAGAGGTTGGAGATTCAGGATCAACAAATGCTTTATTCTGCGAAGTGTCTGTTTCTCGTCTTCTGGTCGAATTATTTGGAGATACGTGAGGAGGAGATGATAGTTCATCAAATGCTTGCTTTTCAACATCAGTGTAACCTAATGAGGAGCTAGATAAGGTGCGTGCTATCGTCACTGCATCAGTAGAGTCCATCCCTGCTATTCTCGACAAATTTTCTAACTCAAAACTTAAATCACGCAATGATGGGTTACTAAATCTTTTCTCTTGATAAGACTGCTCTTCCGCTTCAAGACTATCGTTATTTTTAAGATTCTTCTCTGGCGTTTCCGGTTCAGATGGACTTGTTTCTTCCTTGTCATCTGCTAAAAAAGAAGACGAAAGGGAAGAGTGTCTACTTAATGAATTTTTTCTACTCAGTTTTCTCTCCATGATTTCTCCTACCGTAGTCTTGACATGAATTTTGAATTGTTCTGGGTCAACTTCGGGGTGCAAATTGGCCGGGACCCATAACAATGTATCCGTATCCAACTCCTGTTCTTGTTGTGGCAGATCTGAAATATTCTCGTCTACGGCTCCCTGGTTCTGAAGCATAGCGTCCTCGGATGGCGATGGGCGGCCCTTGAGCGATGAATTACGAGAGAGAGACGAACTCCTTCTCACCAGCAGTGATTTAGGCGGGCTCTTGTTAGCCAAATCATCGTTTTGTTGCTGATATTGGTATTGGTATTCCATATCTTCAATCGGCAAGTCGGGATCGTAACTCATCATGTTACTTATAGACAAACGTTTCAACGCCGCCACCATCTTCTTCTCCTGTTCTATATCCTTGGCCGCTGATTCATAGCTCCTACTCTGGTCTACTATTTCATCTTCAGACATGATCAACGTATTATATTAGCCTCTTCAAATGGTATTTTAACTTTCAGTTTCAACAATCAAATTTCCAAGATGATGCATCAAACTATGGCGAAATGATACTGGATTCTTTGGATCGGGATATCCTGTGTTAATCGTCTAATAATAGCTGTCTGTTCACTATTACGCTTATGCAAAAAATGTTATATTTCAAAATGTGAGCTATTCTGGACGATTTTGAATAGTATCTAGAGACTAAACTCTTATTAAATGCAACGAGTGGCGAAACGCTATAAAATGGGCTCTTAATATAGCTTATCAATATGTTGTTATTCGTCAACGCTATAGAATAATAAACACTTTACATCAGCTTCTAATGGATAATTTGAATGGTGATCTACACGGTAAGTTTTTAAAATGACACAAAACTCGTTTCTGAAATTCTATCGTGTTATTTGCGTAGTGTATTTATATGTCAATATTAGATATCATAATAGCTTGATAAAGCCACATATGCCAACTATAAGAAGTAAATAATAAGTGATAGTCCAGAATAAAGGTCTATCAACCGATAGATTTGGAAAGCCCATTAAATTGCAAATGCAATGCACAACTATCGGGCACCATACATTGTTACCAGTCTCCAAGAAGAGATAGTTCGATAGAACGCCAAATACCGTGGTATACATCACCTGAACTACGACGGTAAGGGCGGCAGTGGAAAAGTCCACATTTCTGTTCTTGTATAGGTCGTAGCCGTGATGTACATGGGCAATACCGAAGAATAACGGCGTGAGGAGGATCTTTTGCAGATCTGAGATGGATTCGAATGGCTGTAAAAGTGTGAGAAGGACAGATCTGTAGATCAATTCCTCGGTTATGGGGGCAAATATGTGATCACGGACACCCCATATCAGGTAGAAGCAATCGTAGAAGTCCTGCTGGGCAACAGATGCGTCGAATTGAATTTCCCATGGGTAGTCTAGGATGGGCCCCATATAGAGTATCAGAATCAACTTGATACTACGAAGAATGTTCGCAATATCGGTTGCAGCATGGCCGCTTAACGTCATTCCCGGTACAAGCCCAAACGACCATATCACAGAAATATAGCTGGGATAACCGCCCATGTATGTTAACATCATTGGGAGCACCAAAATAAGTCCACTACAGAGTGTAGTGATTCTCACAATGCGATGATGAATGACATCCGGGTTGTTCCTTTCTATACCCTTAATGTGTTCTGGTACACCCACATGAATTGCCGCCACATACGAGCAAGCTACAATGATACATAGGACAAATGCTTTTGTTATAGTATACATTGGCTCTGTATGTTTTGTTCTTCCAACCTCCTGTTTGCTTGCTTATAGATGGGATTTGGTTGTTTTCTTATGTGCAGTACAGTGAAAAATTTACACCAATACAAATAATGGCTTTATTTCTGACTCATAATCTTACAGTGGAACTCTCCAGATTAGGTTTGTTTTGATAAAAATTAGATTGAAAATTTTCCAGCTGAGAACTAAGTGTTGTTAGTTATTATTTCATTGGTAGCGAAATATGGCATTACTTTATTCTTCTACCAGGTCTGGTTTGAAAAAGACCGGTGCTAGATGTTTATCTTCATCTAGTATACTTTATAGAGGACAAAATTTAACCGAGAAGATAGTTCAGAGATATGCAGTTGGATTAGCAGATGATAAGAAAGTATTCAGCGGGGACTATGTTACCATCAAACCAGCACACTGTATGTCTCATGATAATTCATGGCCGGTGGCTACCAAGTTCATGGGACTTGGAGCAACCAAGGTACACGATAACAGGCAGATCGTGTGTACTTTAGATCATGACGTTCAAAATAAATCAGAGAAGAACTTGGAAAAATATCACAATATCGAGAATTTTGCCAAAGAACAAGGCATTGATTTCTACCCGGCTGGAAGAGGTATCGGACATCAAATTATGATCGAAGAAGGGTATGCCTTCCCATCAAACTTGACTGTTGCATCAGATTCGCATTCTAATACATACGGTGGTATCGGTTCGTTAGGTACCCCTATCGTCAGAACGGATGCTGCTTCTATATGGGCTACAGGTCAAACATGGTGGCAGATACCTCCTGTTGCCAAGGTTGAATTAGTGGGTCAGTTACCAAAGGGTGTTACTGGTAAAGATATCATCGTTGCATTATGTGGTATTTTCAATAATGATGAAGTGTTAAACCATGCCATCGAATTCACTGGTGAAGGTGTGAAGAACTTATCTGTTGATTATAGATTAACCATTGCTAATATGACCACTGAATGGGGTGCTTTGTCTGGGTTATTCCCAGTCGACGAAACTTTAGTTGATTTCTACGATGAAAGAATCAAGAAATTGCCTCAACCACATCCAAGAGTTAATGAAAATACTGTTAAAAATTTGAGTGAAAACAAGGTGAACTCCGATAATGATGCAGTGTACGCAAAGCACTTGGTTGTCGACTTAAGTTCGTTATCACCATACATCTCAGGTCCAAATTCTGTTAAGGTTTCCACATCGTTACATGATTTATCCGAACAAAACATTAAAATCAATAAGGCGTACTTAGTTTCTTGTACAAATTCAAGATTAAGTGATATCAAAGCTGCTGCTGACATTATTAAGGGCCATAAAGTTGCCGAAGGAGTTGAGTTCTACGTTGCTGCTGCGTCTTCTAATGTCCAAAAAGATGCTGAAGCTATTGGAGCATGGCAAGACATTATTGACGCTGGTGCTAAACCATTGCCAGCTGGTTGTGGACCATGTATTGGTTTAGGAACTGGTTTATTGGAAGAAGGAGAGGTTGGAATTTCAGCCACTAACCGTAACTTTAAGGGTAGAATGGGTTCTAAGGATGCATTAGCTTACCTTGCATCACCAGAGGTTGTTGCTGCATCAGCAGTCTTGGGTAAAATTGGTGGTCCAGAAGAGTTACAAGGTAACCCTGTTCCTACGAATCCTGAAATTGTTAGATCTATAACATCCAATGAATCCACTGAAACAGTCGACCCAGATGCATCAGGTAGCTCTGTTGACGTTTTAGATGGCTTCCCTCGATCTATTGAAGGTGAATTGATCTTATGTGATGCGGACAACATTAACACTGACGGTATCTATCCTGGTAAATACACTTACCAAGATGACATTCCACGTTCCAAAATGGCCGAGGTTTGTATGGAAAACTACGATGCAGAATTTAAGCAAAAGACCAAGGCCGGTGACATTATTATCTCCGGTTACAACTTCGGTACTGGTTCCTCGAGAGAACAAGCAGCCACAGCCATCTTGGCAAGAGACATGAAATTGGTCGTTGCCGGATCTTTTGGTAATATTTTCTCAAGAAATTCGATTAATAATGCATTGTTAACATTGGAAATTCCTGCATTGATTAACAGATTACGTGAAAAGTACTCACAATCCAACGAATTAACCATCAGAACTGGTTGGTTCTTGAAATGGGACGTCACCAAAAATCAAGTCACCGTGTCTGATTCCGAAGGCAACCTCATTTTGACCCAGAAGGTTGGTGAATTAGGTACCAATTTGCAAGATATTATCGTCAAGGGTGGTTTGGAAGGCTGGGTCAAGGCTCAGTTGAAAAACTAATATATACATATCTTCATGTTACATCAGTTGTGTGTTTTTTTTATTTTCATTTCTTCAATATCAATAAATACACGTTTAAACAACATAATACGGATGTTTAGATATTATCGCTTTTGTAATGGAGAGAAATTTCATGTTGTTTCTATTAGCTACAGGAAATAAGAGAGACGTAGGTCATTCTTCAATTAATCCTATTTCGTTGTAGTTGTAGTTCTGGTATCGTGCGACTCGAAACTCATTTCAGCAAGCTCAAAATTAGAGGAGGTATTTTCATCACTTTCATCATTATGATTAGTATTAGTTTTATCATTAACTGCAACTTGGCTTTTTCATTATATCTGGATTGACTTGCTCAGCTTCTTCTTTCTTACTAGTAGACCTATTCATCCCAAATGTATTATCAAGAGACTCAAGGTCATCCTGTTTACTTGCTTCACTGCTGGACCCTAGCAAATAGTGGTGGGTCCACCTCAATGCAATCTGGTTCATCGAAGGTAATAGCATTGCTGTCTTCACCGGAAAAGTACATAAGTGGCATGGCTATCACTTCTGATAACTTTGTTTATAGTGTTTATCCCTAAATGCATTGATGAGGATAAGCTCAATTCATATTATATAAATGTTGATAAGCATAAAATAACACATACTAATTCCTTAAGATTATTTTACATATGATGCTTTAATTATGTTTTAAAAATGTTTCATTAATCGGAGTAATTAAGGCATAAGCATATCGGATCACTTGCGACAATACTTACAACCACCAAGTTCTAGAATACTAAGTTCAATTTATGTCCTTATTGGGACTTGAAGCCATATTGAATTAAAAACACTAATAATTATACTCAACAGAGCGAAGTGCGAAAATCCGCTGCTTCAGAAGATGATGCTAAAAGTATGCGCTACGAGCTTTTTATCCAGACACCATAAACTATTATGGCAGCTTTGAAAATAGGCTCTACAAGAATATGCTGGTAAAAAGGTTTCGTTATTCCATGTCCCTTTTTGAGGTGTCCTTTATGTTTATCATTTGCTCAATAGCAATATCGCATCCAACATTTGTGGCAATATTCTGCACCCTGTTAAAGCCAATTTATATCATTTTACATTTTACAGTACCAAAAGTTAGAACATACTAGCCCTTTAGGTGAAGATACGTATAATCAGTATTACATAAATCCGAACACGGCCGTTAGAGTGCATCGCCCGTAGCATTCCTGCCTACTTTGTATGCAGTCATCCTATTAAAGCTAGCGATAAAAATTGAAGGGGCGAGCTGGGAATTGAACCCAGGGCCTCTCGCATGCTTGTAGTAATCAATTTAGTTTCCTAAATCGTCGCCCAAAGCGAGAATCATACCACTAGACCACACGCCCAATACTGTTAGAAAAAATTATGTGCACTGATAGATTGTGCTTGGCTTTATTAACGCTCTTTAATTCCAGACCATACTGCATACTCCACGTTTCAAAGTAACCGTTAGTACCAATACGTCAACTACTACAGCCATTAAACGTTAGCCGTTAAACTCTGGCTACTAATACCACACCGTGGCATGCTACTACGCCTTCACTTATCTCCTACACGATTTTTCGTCGTCATAGTTGCAACCTGGGGCCATGTTCAAATCGCTCCGTTCGTTGCAGCTATCTACCAAGTCTAGTTCCAATTCGCGACAATAAATATTATTAGCATTAATCATTATCTATACATAGGGCAATCAACTATCTCTAACTGTAGATCCCCCGTCTCAATTTATGTTATTATACAATTTATGTTTAAATGATGTATAGACTATCTGATAGTTGAACGACACCTTCTCAGTGAATTCACTAACAACATCCGTCAAATTTAATAGCAACACAACGGCATTGAATATATAATATAGTAAAGTGTCGAGCAACAAAAATCCCTGGTCGATAACATTATTTGTAGAATCAACAACAGCAGATGCAATAGATGTGTTTCCATGTACACTTTCTTGCATTTTATTTTTATATTCTAACACTCAATTCCTTCTAGTTATATATTTAAAGTCATAAAATTCAAACTTTGTATTCTCTGGTAATATTAGTGTAGATATAATCTAATATATAAACATATACATAGATAAAATATACGATCAATCAAAATGAGGATTAATGTATATTTATAGCATTTGATGTTGCAAAATTCATGACATTAATATCGCAAGTCGTTCATAACCTAATTTGTAGCACTTTTCATATGAGAAATTTGTAACCCCATTGAAACGTATCTGTGACTGATTTTGGATATGCGAACAAAAATGATGACTTGATTCTAGACTCCCCTCCTAGCTTAATTGTTCCCGCACATATATCCGAAAGGAATAATGTAAACAAGGCCACGAATTATGAACGTCTATTTGCATTAAATTTTTGTTCTATTCCAAACAGTCATGTACGGATTGTCTCGCTTGAATCAAATGTCTACGGAGTTAAAGGTAAGAATAAAGTTTGTTTTCATCTCCGTGTAGAACAAGTTCCAGTCATTATTGTTGTAGTTATTAATAAGTAGCGAGTTATTAATTACCTTGGACAACTTGACTACTGAGCGTAAACTCTCCTCAAAGGTCTCTGTTTCCTGGGTGCTGGCCTTCGACTTTAATTTTTTGTTCAAATTGAGCTTGAGCACATCAATTAACTTTGGAAGCAATTCATTGTTGTATATCAAAAAGTTAAAATCCTTGTTTACCAAATTGATCAAGTTGATGGAGGACAAAATGACAATGTCGGTTTCGGAATCAGTCAAACCCTTATTGACTATATTGAGTCCGATGTCGTAAATATTGATATTGTTCGCTTTGAGGAGAGAGTCGTCGAACAATATGACGGTGTATAAAAGCTCATAGCACAATTTCCTTATTTCCAACCCCTCATCGATCACATACTTGTAAGGCCCCATGGGGATGATTTTTTTGAATTCATCTTTGGCACTTAATTCGTCGTAGATCAACGGTAATACCCTATTGGGTAAGATAGGCAACAAAAGCTCGGGTTTATTATGCAATCCCGTGAGCAATGTCCCAATAAGGGCTTGTTTGATTTCGATATTAGAAAGCGTCAAGAATTTCAAATTGTGGAGGAGCAATGTTGATAATATGTCATTATTGCTTTCTAGTTTATACATTAATTGCTTCAAGATGACAATTATTGTATAAATGATTGATTCGTTGGAAGCCGAATCAATCTTATCAATAAGTTTGCAAATGTACTCGTTATTTAGTAAGCACATTCTAGATAATACATCACCAGATAGTCTTAATTCCGACGTACTACTAATTACTTTTTCGTCGTACTTACTGATAGTCTTCCATATTCTATCCCAAATTTGCAATAGGATATAATTGCTTAAATTGTCATTCTTTAATAATTGCTTCATCGATATTAAATTCAAATCTCTTTCATCGTCGTTATTCTCGTAGTTATCTAATAACAATGGCAAGTCCTTGTTTATGTCTTCAACGATAAGCAACCCTATGGATCTTGATGATGCTAATCTTATGGATTCGTTCAGGTTTTTCAATAACCGTAAGAAACTGGCTAATGTAATCAGTCTCAATTCTTTTTGTGAACCTATACTTCCTAAAAATTGAATATCGAATAATATTTTATCATTAGATATAGAAATGTTCTTATTAATATAATGATTCAATTCTACCTCTGCTTCGTCTATTTTATCTTGCAAATTATTCTCAAGAGTGATGATTGATAATGTTTTGGCACTGATGAATAACTTTAAGTTAAGACTGGTCATAAAAATTTCACTTAAATTCTCATTGCATAATTTTCTTGACAATTGTTGAATCAAAAATTCAAAACTTGTTAAATCAAAATCATCAACATCTGTAAGTTTCTCATTCATGATCTTGATCATGCCTTGGAGGAATTTATCATCAATTTGGCAGTTTGGTAATATTCTTCCAATAATGTTGAATAACAAATAAAGCTGAGTATAGTCGTTAGTAGATTCGCTAAAATTTACTAAAAGTGATAACAACTTATTAGCTTGATCGTCCTCCAAATTATCAATATGCTGAATCTTGGTAATTATATCTAACAACTTCAATGATATATAATATAGCGAATCATCAGTTGATGAAATAAATGCAATCGATTTTGCAATCAAAAAGTTAACGAAATCAATCTCCTTTAAATATCTCCAAAAATTCTTACACTTCTTATTAAAAATTTTGATCAAGCTTTCAATAGTTACCTTAACTGTCACTTCGTAATTCAAGCTTTCTTTCAAAATAGCAGTAGTTTTTATAAAATTATCTTCATTTATTTCAATATTGACATTTAACTCTGATAAAGCCGAAATGGATTTCTGTCTTAATTCACTAGAATATTGTTTATCGTGACAAATTTTAATGATTGAATTAAATAATTCTTGGATTTGTGATTCAAAAAAGTTCAATCTATCAATTCTTTTGAAATTTTGAAATATTATTATAGATATATTAAGACTTTCCATAATGATATTGTGGTAAGAAGTTTTATTATCAATTGACTTAGACAAGTCACTCAAAATATAATTAACAAAATCCTTCGAAACTTCACTTATTTCATTATTGAGAAAGATTGTTTTATATAAACTTAAGTATTCCATGTTGCCACTAGTTTTCAAATTTAAACTCTTGATTGCATTAAAGATTTCATCCAAAAATTGTGTTGATAATTGGTGATTTGTAGTTACCAAACTTTCAATTAACTTTAGGAATATTGGAAATCTAATAATTTTCTTGCTCACAAGCAAGTTGTTGAAAATCTTATTCTCTAGAATAGGCGTCACATCTCTAAAGAGTTGGCTTATTGGACTATTTTCAAGAGTCATGCTCACATCAGAACCACTTCTCCCTACTTTTCTAGAATCCGAGATAACTTCATTATCCGCAGATGTACTATTAATTATTGTAATTAAAGTTTTAATACTATCGTTCGAAACAATATCATTTCGATCATTCATTGCATCAGTCATGCAGGGGATTAGCTCAGAGTAGATTAATGGTAAAATTGTCGGATATCTGCTTGTAAGGGTCCTAGTTAAAATAGCAGATTTACTTCTTAATTTCCACGAACAATCATTTTCATAATCATCATTATTGTTAATATCATCCTCATCATCCGAGAATTCGATCTCTGAATCTTCATCAAAATCAATATCATCATTATCATTGTCAAAATTAAGCGGATCATAGCTAATAAATGTTTGAATCAATTTAACAGTATCATTCAAATAAGTCTCAAACAATTCGAGCGGTAACGCATTAATTAAGTCATTTATCGTATTTAACGCAATCTCCCTGATTAAATTTTCTTGAATCATTAAATCAAAGTCATAGTCTTCAACATCCAATTCCGTGTCCAAATCTTCCACTTTCATATAAGTGACAGCAATCTGAAAAATATGCTGGATTGTCGCCCCATAGAATATTGAACCGTCATAATCATCATAACTTTGCACTGATTTTAAGATTACAGAAAATAAAGATAACCTCAAGTTGATTGAATGTGAACTGCTAGGCAATGAGTCAAATTTTAAGGAAATTTGTTTGACTAAACTATTCAAAATTGTGCATGATGATTCTGTATTGTCGAGATAATTCAATAGAAGATCAAATGCAATAACGGACCTTTTACCAATAATATTTTCTTCTTCAAACGCTATATTCATCGTGGTATGCAAAAGATTGGTAATTTCTTCATTCGTCAAGACAAACCCTAGATTCTTAATCAAATCAATTAATAATTCAATAGAATCGATTGTGATTACATTTTTAATCAATTTTGGAATAAATGAATCCACAATATTTCTTGAAAGTCGATTAGAAAACTTCGAATTCGTATTAAAAATCGACCTCAATGTCATATTTGGAATTGAAGTTGTGATTTTCTTATAGTCTTTATGACCGGCTGTATTTTCTTTCAATATTTCGTCATATAATTGATTTAATAATTTGAGAATGCTTTCGGAAGATATAAACCTTATAATCGGGGCAAATGACTTTACTGCCTGGCTCTGAACATTAGGGTTAGTATCCTTTAATAACCTAAATAATAATGGTATGAAGTTCTCAATACTTTTAGTAGAAGCTGCCGTAGTAGGTTCACTTAAATATTTCTTAAAGTCTTCTAATGCCATAAATCTCAAATCAGGATCCACATCAAGTGCTTTGTCCTTCAAGGAATTGAAGTTTATTTCAGGCATTGTTCTAGTACTAATCTTTTCTAACCATTGAAAAAGAATCAAAAATATCCATGATTTTTATCAACACTTTTCGTTTGGCCACAATCCTCGCGCTCGTTTGTGAGTTACTAGAGATTACATATTCTAGTACGCATGGAGTAAATTAATTATATATACATCTATATGACTCATTAGAACATTAATCAATGAGGACTACGTATGTACTGTCCTAAAAATTGTTTCAAGGATATCCTCAATCTTTGTTCTTCTTCTTATCCTTCTTCTTCTCTTTCTTATCTTTTTTATTCTTTATCTTACCCTCAGACAGATCCTTAGCCTTATCCTTATTTTTCTTTTTAGATTTATCTTTCTTCTCGTCTTTTGTTTGTAATTCTTGTTCTGATGCAGGCTTCTCTGATGCGGTTTCGTGAGATTCTTTCTCTCCTGAGATATCATTGAATTTTTCTTTGTTACGTTCTATACGATCAATGTGGCCATCACTTTTTGACAAACCTGAGACTTCCACTTCATCAATCGTAAGGTTATCTTCGATATTGTCATTTTCTTTATTGTCTGCTTCTTCTTCTTCTTTGTCGTTGGTTTGTTTAATTTTTTCGATTGCGTCAGTCAGCTCTTCGCTTTCTTGGCCGATTCCACCAATTTTAATATCGTCATCTGATATAGCGATACCTTTCAACTCTATATCTTCATCGTTAAGAATTTTAACAAGTACACCACATCTCTTCGCATAATCATAATCTGGGACCGTCTCTTCTGATTCCGATGTTTGACGCTTAGCCTTTTTATCCTCAGTTTTTTCTTCGTCCTCATCATCGCTATCTTTGGTTGTTTCACCGCTGAGCTGTCTTTGTATTTCTCTCTCGACTCTGGCTTCCGCATCTTCTGCTGCTTTGTTCCACTTTTTGACAACCTCCATCAAGTCGTCCACCACCCTTTTCCTAGATCCTCCTTGTAAGCCCTCAAGGTAGGACTGTAATGCAGCTTCGTAATCTTTCGGTATGTTCTTAATGTTCTTTAATATCCAGTTTTGTTTCTGTTTACTGAATTTCCAGTTGGACTTATCATTCTCATATTGACGCAAATAGGCCAATTGATCCTTTTCTGGTGGAGGAGCTCTTTCGGATTTAGGTAACTTAACTCTCTTAGGTGCCTTTTTGTCATCATTGTTTGATTCTTCTAACTTTCTCTTCTGTTTATTAAGCTTTTTGGCTTGTTTGTTCGTTACCTTGACATCTTCTATATGTGTTGTTAAAGCTATTGGATCATCTTGTACATCTTCCTTGATCTTCAAACCAATTTTCTTCCACGCTGGAACATTCTGACTCATTTTAGCTAATTCTGTGGACCTTTAGTTGTTTCTTGTGCTTGTAGTTCCTATTGATAACGCTAAGTAAAAAAAATTTTGGGGCCATCTCCATTGCGTGTCCTGGTATAAAAAAAAATACATAAATAGATGAGATTTTGCTTGACTTATATTCTTTTAATATATAATACTTTCATTGATATTAACAACAGTGTATAGTTGTATAACACTAATAAACGATTATTGCATTAAAATTCTCTTATTTGATAGTTTCTATGCGGATGTGAAGTTTCCTTTATGAAAACTTTGTAAATCAATTAATCCAATTCAAATGATTGATTGATCAGAATACATCTAGCTATATTGATAAATACATGGTTTGAGTCCGTTATAAATAATCTTACTTATAATGGATATAGAGATTGTATACATGATATTCCTCTACGTAATTAATTTTGTAAAGCATGTTTAATAAGCTTCTTATATCCGTCGATAGCCAGGATAAGATCTGAGTTCTCAATATATTCATTGGCACCATGGGCCACATGAATACTTCCAGGACCGTATAAAAATCTGTGTTTCAACTTGACAGATAAATTTGGTATATCTGTGGAATAAGCTAAAATGACTGAATCAAAGCCAGGGACTTTATAATCCAAATATTGAGCGTCGACTTGAACTTCAGACTTTAGAGTCAAATGTTCAACGTTTCCAATTGTTTCCAGTACAATTTCACGAACTTTAGATAATTTATCTGCCACTCTGATCGAGAGATTAGAAGTAGCTTTTGCTGGCAAGACATTCTGAGCGACGCCCGCATTGATCATACCAATATTCAATGTTGATGGGCCTAATAATTTGGATTCTGGTAACTTCATCTTGAGCAATTTGTCCAATACTGGGACTAATATTTCGGTAGCTGATATTCCTAATTCGGGGTATCCACTGTGGGAAGCTTTACCATCAACTTCGATGTCAAAAGTATAGATACCTTTATGACCAACACCTAATTTTAATCCCGTCGGTTCGCCAAATATACCAGATTCCCAAGAAGCATTTAGTGACTTACTGACGGCTTTCATGCCTAATCCACTGAATTCTTCATCTACGACAAACAAAAGTGAGGCATCGCCCTCCTTCAAATCTCCTGATTTAAAGAGCGAAAGATAAGACATGATTTGAGTAGCCACTGAACCTTTTGCGTCGCAGGATCCTCTGCCATAAATATTGGTACCTTCTATACGATATGGAAGGAAAGGTGGTACAGTATCTATATGAGACGTAATTAAAACTTTAGTGTCTCGAACTTTTCCAATGTAAGCATACACATTGTATCTCTGCTGACCTGACCCCACCATCTGTAATTCAACTGTAAGACCAGCTTTCTCCAAGTAATCTTTCAAGAGTTGGGAGATCTTCAATTCACTTTTGCTTACAGAAGGGGTATCAACCAACGATTTGTGCAACGATAATAAGGACAATTCGCCAACTTTGAAATCTTCCAAATCTTCATATGAGCTACGCTTAGTATCTGCAACCATCTTATTATTATATCTATCTGACTAAACAAAAATATTGTATAATACACAAGGAACAATTTTCAACATTTGAATTTTGTATTAAACCACGTATCTACTTATATACTAGGAATGAACTGGCACATATTAACATCATAATAATGCTTGCTATATAATTTATACATTATTCTAAATTGTGCGGGCTCGCCTCTCACAATTCTAATCTACTTCTTCTATCTTTAAAGGTTCTGTACCTTCTTTTCTTGATTCTTCTTGTTTATCTGATTCTTGTTTATCTGATTCTTCTTTCTTATCCGAATCCACTTTCTTGTTCTCTCTCTCTGAAATCCACTTATCAAACCTATCAGTTAAATCTTGTGCAATTTCTTCTGCCGCAGCATCCTTGTCTTCAGCCGTCTGCATCTTATTGAATACATTTTGCAAATAGCCGAATGTGCTTGTAAGATATTCGTCAACTTGAGGGTTTTCGCCATTAGGATTTAAAGCGTTTCTAAATAAATTCATGATGGATTGCTGCTGTTCCGTCAGAGGAGCACCATTCTCAGCAGAGGTTGATTCCACGCCAGATTGTGAATTAGTTTCTGTAGTGGCTTGTGGTCTACTATTCTGTTCAGACTCTTCTTTATTTGGCTTATTTGTAGACATTCTATATACTTTAAAGGAAGACCGAAAAATAAAAAAAACTCAATGTTTGCCTTCTGTTCCATCATTTATATGCGAGCAATATTCATATGACAAAAACTACCGTTCCCTACATATCTTTTTGTATTTAATTAAACCTATACTATTATCACTTAGTTAAAAGGAAGTGTATTTCGTAGACTACATCTGCATTTTGCTTTAAGCGTATCGCCAATGACTAACCCCCCAGATTTTTTCCTATTTCTGTTCAAAGTTACCTTCAAATTTGCCTAGTCTGTCCTTTTCGTTCGATTCAAATTTACCTTCGAATTTTCCCAAGTCCTTTTTGTCGGTAGATTCAAATTTTCCTACGCTGTCTTTATCTTTAGATTCGAACTTGCCCAAGTCCCCCTTGTCTTTCGACTCAAATTTGCCCTCAAACTTTCCGCTTGCATCAGGATTTTTTCCCTCTTCAAACTTTCCTTTGTTATGGTCTCCTTCAAATTTCCCTGGTGCCTTCTGATTTTCGAATTTGGCCGATTCTTCTGATTTTTCACGAACCATGTTTTCTGCGTCCTTGAGAGGTGTTTTTGGATCAACATTTTGATCGTATGCTTCTCTGGCAATATCACCTAATTCACCCAATGGTGGTAATCCTTGGTTTCCTTGCTTGCTCATTGTATCTGAATCTTATAATCGGTAAGTACAATCCAATTGAATTGATCCTCTCATCACTCTTCTCTAAGATCATCATTGTAGCTCGATGATCAAAAAGGGTCCGCGTCACGTGCCGTAGCAAGCCTTAAGTCAATTGTAGGACATATTTCAGTAGTTTCTATGACCTAAAACTTCCCTGAAAGAAGATTGAAGTATAATAGCAATGAACAAATTAACTAATTCCTTAAAAGCCTTAAAGCCTAAGTCAATTCCAAAACTTTTCGTTATTGACTGGGATGAAACCATAACCAATGAGGATACTATCAAGCTCGTAGCTCAAGCTGCGTACAACAAAAAGCAAGAATACGTACCAACGTTCGACCATTTCACGGACGTCTATATGAAAGCTTTCAATGAGTATAGTCAAGACTTCACTAGTAAATATGGAGAAAGAGATACCATTGAAAAGGAAATCAAATTTCAAACCGGGATGCAAAATGTGGAAATGAAATCAATTAACGAGATTAAGAGATTGAGGCTATTCGAAGGGATTACAGAAGAAGAATTCCAGGCCCAGGGAAATAATGTTACACTCAAGCCTCATTTCACTGATTTTTTGGGCAAGTGCCAGGATTTGAAGATTCCGGTGATTATATTGAGTGTCAATTGGACTAAATTAATCATGGAAGCTGTCCTTCAAAAAAACGGCTTCAAAGAAAATGAAAATTTAAAAATTATGGTTAATGAATTAGAGTTTGTCAATGGAGTCTCTACTGGTAACTTTAACGAATCGATATCGATTAGAACAGGTCTTGACAAGTTGAATATTGTTAATAGTTTAATCAAGCAATACGGCAAAACGTGCTATATAGGTGATAGTA